AAAAAACTAGCAGATATGGAGATTTGTTCTTTTTTTCCTTCTTTTTTTTAAATTTTTTTTTTTTTTTTTTTTTTTTTTTTGAGCAGGGAAGTAAAGTGTCATTACTTTAACCTAAGTACCCATCTTGTAAAAGGCCTCATAACAAAAGCAACTTTGTCTAGCCTGTAATGTTTCTCAGTTCTCAGGATATTGACATATGTATTCTTTTCTGCTTTTTTAGTAATGCTGAAGCTAATATTTTCTAATTAGTTTATTTAAATATTTAATTTTTCTGCAAACTTTCTACTATACTGTAATTTTACTTCAGGGAATTTTGTAAAACAAAACAGTTTATCTTCCTTGGGAGGAAATAGACAAAGTGTAAACGTCATCCATTGTACTTTTTTCCCCCTGAATGTTCATATCTTTATAATAATAAGATTATTTTTTCCCTGTTCACAAAACAGTTAGTTCTCCAACCTATGAGTTTTCCTTTATTACAGACTGAAATATATGCACAGGTAGTATTTTAAACTCACTAGTATATGCTCATACACAGCAATGTCATATTAATACTATTTATATACTTTACTTGTTAAATTTCCACTGGAGCTATTGCTTTGAACCTTGTAAAGTTTTTTGTTTTGTTTTGTTTTACTTGTGATTTTTTTTTCTTATTGTGCTAAAAATAAGGTATATACTTAGGAGTTCCATACAGACATTAACCCTTGGGACTTATTTAGCCACCTAAACCTTCAACTGTATATTTTTATCTGTATAAAATACTTCAGGCAATATATAAATATTGTTTTCAATTTATGCTTATAAAGTGTGTGTATATTTATTGAATTGAGAGAGAATGAAACCACAAACTTTTGGCATAAGACCACTTGTTGCATTAAGATAGGCATTCACGTTATCTGTTTTTAAGAAACTTCTAATCCCTAATCTAAACCTTTATTGATATAAAATGAACCGAAATGTTGTGAGCTCAATGTTGTTTCATAGTTTAAATTGAGCACAGTTTTCTTTAAAACATCTAAAAGGAAGTTTCAACACTCAGAATAGTCAGGATTTCATCTTGAATGATATATATGCTGTTTTAGCAAGAATGATTTAAAATATATTATTTTTACAGTTTTATAATAGTGTTTCATAGATGATGTTTCAAAAAAAAGTAATTTATTTCACTGCAAATGCATTCAATTTTCATAGTGGCCTGTTTGTTTGTTTGTTTGTTTAGGAAGCAGGAACAGACAAGAGTATTTTTCCTTTACCAGAACCACAGGATTTTTTCCAGGCCTCCCAAGTTAAGTTTGAAGACCTAATAAAAGACTTAAGGAAACTGAAGAGAGATCTAGAAGGTAACTGGGAACTTTCACATTTGTTCTGCTAACAACAAAGTGCCATTTAAAATGTGACCTTTATGAGGTTTTCTTATTGCTAATTAGGTTTATAGTGTTGATTCACTTAGATTTTTTACACTGTGGCACAAATTGCTTGCATAAATTAGAAATAAAAAAAATTCAAACTCATGACTTAATAAAAATGAAAGTAAAGATACAGAAAAGTAATTTTCCCTTTTACAATCGAAAGGCCCCTAAAGAAATCTTTCTAAAATTTTCCTTAGTTATGTGTGAATTTTCCTCTGGCTTCTCCAGAACTGAGTGTTTAACTGTAGATATCTGTTAGTTCCATAACATAAATACTTTCTTCAGCACTTGTATAACAACAATTTAACAGCTACAAGAAAGAGTTGAATACTATTAATGTAGAAATAAAACACAGCTTGCCAAGGCACAGCAAAGGGAAATGGAAAGCTCCAGTTCGAAATATTTTCACCCTGGGACATAAAATAAACATTTAAAAATGTTTATTATAAAGAGGGGCTCAGAAACCCAACTCATCTATCAATCAAAGTACTGAGTGGAAATAAAGTAGGAAGGGTTGCTCTCTAAGTGTTCCAAGCAGTTTCATTTTTATTTTGCGCTTCATATGACTTTCTAAAATAAATCCAGCAAATGATGACTGAATATTTTAAGCCTGTCTTTTTTGTTAAGGAAAAGTTGCTACTTTTACTGAAGCAGTTTTGTGTAGAAAATGGAGTTTAGGGAGAGAATCTGCATAAAAGCCTATAAAAACTTCTCCATTTACAGCTCTGCATCAAAATGGAAGAGTCCTTTTAGAATCAGAGTTGAACAAGATGATTGTTTTTGATTTTTTTCAATGTAAGGCAATGAAAACCGTTACAAAATAATTTATCCTTACAGTTAGAAATTGCTGGATTAGGTCACTGCCATCTTTAGGATGGTTTCAAAGGTTAACAGTGGTAGGAAAGTATCAGTTGTTGTTTGTTTGACCCGGGCATAAGTGAGTGCTCTATCTCCTCTCATTGCTTGGCCCTGTAAACCCCTTGGCCTGCCCTCTTTTGGGCTAGTTTGTGCAGAAACATGATCTGTGTTTGATCTTGTACTTTTTCAGCATGTAGTCCTACTGTCATGCATCTTAGTCTTGCAGGATCTGCATTGAGGCTGTGACATTCACATCATATTTGTTCTACATTGCAAAGACACAGACAGCAAGTAGGAAAAGCTGAATGCTTTAACTAACTCTTAAAATAAAAAATGCAGCTTGCTTGTAATCACTGATTTCTATTTTCTAAAACAAATTTTCTTAGGTATTTATAGAAATTTCTAGAAAAAGTGTTATGTTGAGGTTGTTTTCATAATTTTTCTTTGTAAAGATGTATTTGAAACCCAGCCAAACCAATTAACATATAAAGTTAATGACAGCAAAGATTTGAAACAAAAAAGGTTGTGGAAATGTTTTCAGATGTTGGTATTTTATCACTCAGAAGTACGCAACAGAATTCTAACAAGCA